TAAGAAATCAGGAAGGGGGCCAACACTTTTTCACACCACTGTATATATATATATATATATATATATATATCGAAGTGGTGGTGGGCCGCCTGGACCAAAATATGCCAGGGCCGATTTTTTGTCCCAGTCCAGCCCTGGATGTACTGTAGGGGAGACCGGGGGCAATTCTCAACAAGCTAGAGTGATGACACTTAATCTGCACATGCTCAGTAGGATTCTCTCTCTGCCTGTGAAAAAGGAGCACAATCATTTCAAAGTTTTTAACAAAATACTGATTTTGAGGTATGAAAGTTACTTTTTGGATGAACTGTATTTTTCTTCTGCTGTCTAAAGTTTAGATGACTGTGAATTTTAAACTTACATGCATTTTATCTCTAGGTTATTGATCAAAGATTAACATGAGCAACCTATGCTAATATAGGCGTGGCTAGCTAGCATACGAGATTCTATCATGGTTGCAACATGGGTGGCAATTGTAACCTTGTGTGACACATGGCCCAGTGCAAGTACCTTGTTTGTCTGTGTTGACATACTTTTCTGTTAGAAAATTAACATATTTAAATGTAAAACTACATTTAAAAATGATTAGTGTTACACATTAAACAATGTGTTGCTTTTAAAATTTTGTAAAAAAAAAATACAATGAATATTATCTCCACATTATCTCATCGAGTTATTCTGTTAAAATGTCTATCTTGTACCATTTCAAGTTTCAAGACTGTTCTTGACTCATCAGCTGATTAATGTATTTGAGTAAAATATATATTAAAAAAATTAAAATCTAGTTACCACTAGAATAGTTGCTAAATTATTCGTGTTACACATTAAATAATGTGTTGCTTTTAAATCTTAAAAAACAAAAATGAATAGTATCTCCAATATTATCTCATTGAGTTATTCTCTTAACATGCTTGTCTTCCGTTTCTTTAAAGTTTCGTCAGACTCATCAGCTGATTAATGTATTTGAGTAAAATATGTCAAATATATTTAAATAAATAAAATATTATATTAAAAAATACATTTAAATAATTCAAATCTAGTTACCAACAGAATAGCTGCCTAGTCTTCTGCAAAAATAGAATAGACTTTTGCTTTTTGAATGCATATGATGCCTGACATTTAAAAGAAAAGAAAATAAAAACTTAAGTGACATTTATAGTTAACTACAGCAGTAAAGTGATTACTCTGAGGTAGATTTTATTTGCGATACAGTGGGTTAATATGACTTACAGAGATAGTTCACCCAAAAATGAAAATTCTGTCATTAATTACTCACCCTCATGTCGTCTTGATCACGTAAGGACCCTTGCTGTCTATGGGAGGGTCAGAGAGCTCTCAGATTCCATCAAAAATATCTTAAATTGTGTTCCGAAGGTGAACGGAGGTCTTACGGGTTTGGAACGACATGAGGGTGAGTAATTAATGACAGAATTTTCATTTTTGGGTGAACTATCCCTTTACTGTAGTTTTCAGTGTTACAATCGCCCCCACCAAGGGGTAACAACACTTCTTGTTACAATTCTCAATTTAATTTAATATTATAGTCTTGTCCTTATTAGTGAAAATATATCAGTTGTATTATTAATTAGTGCACCCATATTTGTTTTTTGTATCAAAAGATGACTAGTTTATTTCAAGTAGTCTGTGAATTATGGAAAGGAAAATGTAAAAAAAAAATTTCATTTTTTTTCCCGTTCTCAAGTTAACAACAAGACCTTTCTTGTCTTGACTTGACTAGTTTGGGACACATCCTGCTCAGTACTTTCAAATTATTCAATGTTTCTGTTTTTCATTCTCACATAAAAAAATTATAATATGAAATTGTCCAGCCCATCGATATCTGCAAAATACATCTACCATAGTATAAACAGAAAAGCAGAATCTCTACCGGTGGACACTTTTTTTTCTTCTTTCTGTCACACAGTGCTGTACACGCCACCCAGCTCATGTTTTCCCTGTCCATCTTTCTTTACCTTCTGATATTTTCCAGCCCCTCCACAGCTCCTCCACCGTGATGTGCTGGTCCTCTCGGTGAAGATTACTGTGTTTATTTGTCTGCTGCTGCTTCATGTCCTCTATGATAAACTGCAAAAGAACAACAGGATAACATTACTGCTCAGACCACAGGAAAATTACTTCTTACGAATTAGTTCATGCCATATCATGTTTTATTTGGCTTTAGGTCACAAGTGGGTTTGCTGGTTTCAAAATTACCTTTCAATATAATGCAAATATTTTTAATGCAAAAAAGACATGAGAAACATTACATTTGAATATTGTATCTGTTGCCTTACACATGATATTAATTCATTTTGCAGATGCTTTTAACCAAAGCGACTAACAAATGAGGAAAAACACATGTGATTAATCATAATGAGACTACAACATTTGCAGAGCCACAATGCAATTTCAAAAAAAGACCAGAAGTACATAACTAGAGCACAGTTTTATTGCACAATAAAGCAATTAGAATATGACAAGCATACTAGATAAAAGTGAAGCTCTCTGTGGTCAGGTCTGTGTCAACTGTGTATCTATCTGTGGTTCTGCATATTTGTGCGCTGCACATACATGACGAAAAATGTCATTTTGTTAAACAGAGGTTTGTTTGTTCCTTCTGTTTATGAATTATGTTGCTATGCTCCAACAAATGAGGGACAAGACATCTTTAAAGTTGTGTAGGTTTATTTAGCAACTCGCTCTCCCTCACACACACACACTCAGGAATCTGCTGTGTCCTGAAAGAGGACACCAACTTTCAGTGGCTGTAAGGAGGAGAAATTCTTAGGCCTCTTCTCGAAACACTTCTTGAGCCGAGGAACACCTGCCATGACCAAAAACAATCCTCAAAACACACGTCACATCCTCACTAACCATTTACGTATATAAAAAGTCCCATTTAATATCAAAGAGAGCTGAGCAGCAAAAAAAAAAACAGGAAAGTAAAAAGAGAAAATAAACTATCTTCACTTTCAATCTTGAGGTTGCGAGCGACCCTGAAGGAAATGGTGAGGGCCACTAGTGACGTATGTACATGTTTAGTGTGGACAAACCAGAAGACTTACTACCTCTTGTGTTGCATGAGGATGTTACTATTATTTTAACAGACTCTAATAGCAACTTTTTGCATATTTTTTATACTATTAATAACTTGTTTACCTCCAACTGCAATAAATTGTAAAAAAAGAACTCAGGAAGTAAGTGATCCATGTCTGCAGTAAATTAAACAGAGAGGTGCATTGTGGGATTTACACTTTTGAGTAGTGTCAGTTGGCATAAAAGAAGGAAACTTCCACTTCACCGGATGAGTGTGTTTGATAGAATAAAGAGGACATGTGAAACTGTCATTCAAACCTCAAAAACATCAACAAACATACATACACGCCCACACACCCACCTCATAACATCATACATAATGACTTCTAACATCTGAACTATTCAAAAAAGAGTTAATGTTCAAGTCAATGTTCAAATAACATTAGTTATACTAACAATTTAATATTTTGTTATAAACACTGCTATATATATATATATATATATATATATATATAGGAGAGAGCAGGGTGT